CGCAGGCTCAGCGGCCATGGCTCACGGGCCTAGCCGCTCCGCGGCATGTGGGATCTTCCCTGACCGGGGCACGAACCCGTGTCCCCTGCATCGGCAGGCGGACTCTCAACCACTGCGCCACCAGGGAAGCCCCCCTTTTTTTTTTTAAGCGCGTGATTTTTTTCAGAAAAAAGTTAGTGTCCGGCTCTCTGGAGTTGAGAAAGAAAGGAAGGAGAAAGGTATCACTCCTCTCCAAGGCGCACACTGGTGCGAGGGTCCTATACTACGAAGCCCATGAAGCCTCTCGCCTACACTGCCTCTCCTCAAATGCACTCGACGCCGCGGAGCATCACGGACGTTGTAGTCTAGGCGGTGTTCACGTCCTAACGGGGGCGGGCGCAGCCACAACACGCGTGGGAGGCGACAGGTCGCGACGGCAGCGACAGGTGGCAGTGGGGGGTGGCTGAAATCGTAAAGGATTTTCCAACCCTTGTTCTAAGGGGAGGAGATACCATTCCCGCACACTTAATCTCCTGTTCTTCTCTACCCTTGGGATTCCCCGGGTTGGGGGGAGCTGGGCTGCCCCTCCTCCGGCGATGATGTCACTACCCTCCTCCGCAGCCTCTCGCTGCCCAGAGCTGCGGGGCTGGGTCACCCCTCCCCCCATCGCTAATCCCGGATTCCCCCATCCCCGCCCCGCCTCGACTTGGGGTGAGTACGGGGGAGGGGGAGAAGGCACAGGGTCCGGGGGCGGTAAGACAGCCCAAATCCCAGTTTTGGAGGCGGGGGACTCGGGAGAGGAGGACTCAAAGGTTACAGCGGAGAGGTAATTCGAGGGTCTCGGGGGACCAAGGATCGTAGGCAGAGTCCCCACATTTTCAGCTTTAGTGCCTGGAAGATCGTCTTTCCTGGATTTAGAACTGATAGGAATGGGAGCGGAGGAACAAGGAAGGGGTCTTGGAAGGCAGGAAGGGGAAGACCCTTCCCCAATTCCAGGGCTTTGGGGAATGGGGGAGGGAGAGTTAGGAGGCGGCGCCAAGGATGACTGAGGTGAGAGTCTGGGGCTTTCAGGAATTTTGTGCCTTGAAGGCCTGAGAAGGGATAGACTGGGAAGGAGGAGGGATGGGGAAAGGGTCTGAAGACGCGAACAGACATTGGCCTCCCCTCCCCTGGTGTCCGTCGCTAAAAATCGAGTCCACGTCCCTCTGGCCTGTTTGCCGAGCTGGGTGTCCCATAACCCAAGCCCTCATTATGCCTCCAGAAGCCTCCCCTATGGGTGCAGAATTCAGGCTTACAAATCCCCGCATACCCTGGTGGGGCCTGGAGAGGGCCATGTGGGAGTGACGGCACCCAAATTTCCCAGGGCCTGATGGAGTCTGGATCATCCTTGACCGAGCCTCTTCCCCCAATCCCACGGTCTTTAATCCCGAGTCTCATTCCCTATTCTCCCCTCTTCCAGCCTCCTCGCTCCTCACCCCCCCCCATCCCTGCCTTCCCCACTTCCCTCTGCCCCAGCCCGCACCTTCTCCCACATCTTCTGACCTCCGCAAAAACGCTGGTTTGGTAACTTGATCCCGTGCCTGGCTGCTATCAAAGGCTGAAGAGAAAAGTAGAGTTGGGTGGGGTGGGGGGAGGGTATAAGGGAGGATAGGTGACTTAGGTCCTTACCCTAGCCCTTACTCCCAGCTCCTAGTGCCTACCCAACCCCGGCCCCAGCATCCACCCCCACGCCCCACCTGCCTAGAAGCCTCACTCAACCCAAGACCATTCCCTCACCTCAGGATTCACTGCTTCTGCCTGGGGATACACCAGAATCCGGGGCAGAGAAGAGTAGGAAGCCCCGATGTCTTTTCTCTACCCTCCTGGGTCCCACGGGGGCTTGAGGACTGCCTGAGAACAGTGGATCAGGGGGCAGTGGGGGGAGTTGAGGTAAACTACCTCCCTGGTCCGCAGGACGGGCTCCGCTTCTGCAACTCTCTGCAGTGACGCAGCCTCGAGTCCTGGCCAGGTTGAGGATTAGAGACGGTGATGCGGTGGGAGCCTGAGAGAAAGGGACAGAAATCCAGAGGGAGGGACAGAGACTGAAGGACAGCAGGACAGAGCCCCAAAGAACTGGGGACAGAGACCCAGAAAAAGGGGGACAGGGATTCAGAAAGGGGTGAAAGAGGCACGGGGTGGGGGTGGGGGATAGAGGCCCAGGGAAGGGAAAGAAAGAAAAAGGACAGAAAGAGAAAAGGCAGTGACAGAGGGGGAAAAGAGACGGAGGAGGGGAAAAAGACACGGGGAAGGAGGTAGTAAAAGAACAAGAGCTAGGGGGACGGAGACCCAGATGGATGGGCAGAGACCAGAGAGAGGAGGGAGCCTGGGATGCCCTGGGATGGCGGTGGTGGTGGGGGGAGTGGAGGACAGACACAAAGAGGAGGGACAGAGACTGGAGGGAACAGAGGCCCAGAGAGAGGCAAATCCGAGAAAAAGGTCCAGAGGTCAAGATGAGACTGGGGGTGGGGAGATCGAGACACAGTCAGGGGAGAGGAGACTGAGGCTTAGAGAGAAGAGGGGCAAGACTCAGAAGGAGGGGGACAGATACAGAGAACAATGGGACAGAGAACCAGAGGGAGCGCAGAGAGTAAGGAGGGGCCAGAGCCTCAGAGGAGTAAGGGCAGAGAGGGGGGGACAAATATTCAGAAAAGGGGAGAAAAAGAGACACTAAGAGACACAGAAGCGGGAGTGGGGGTGGAGAGGGAGGCGATACCAACCAGCCGCCGTACCTGCAGAGGGAGGAGGCGGGCTGGGAACAGTGCAGACCTGGGACGCCCGCAGCCCCTGACCCACCCACTTCCCTCCCACAGGCACAGCCTCCTGCCGCCGCAGCCGCAGCCGCTGGCCCCGCCCCAGCCCCCGCGCCTGCGCTCTACCACCCGGGGGGGGCCAGTCCAGCCCAGGGGGCGGGGCCTGACAGGCTCCGGGGCCGTCCGCCTAGTTCTGGCCCCGCCCACCATTGGCCCCGCCCCAACTTTCTGCCCTCCCACCAGGACTCTCTGAAACCTAATCCCGCCCAATTTCCTATTGGCCCCGCCTATTGCCTCAGCCTAGACTATGTTTCCCGGCCTTTTGGTTTCTCCCCTCCGCCTCTCTTAAGACTCTCCTTACCAGTTCTCATCCATCCCTTGGTTCTGCTGGCTGCAGTCCGCCGTTATCTAGACCTCGCCCACTTTCCCTCACCTCGTTCCCCCTTCTAAGGCCCTACTGACCCTTAGAACTATCTCCCAGGCTCTCTGGCCCCCAAGACTTCCCGTTCTAGGTCCCACCGCTCCGTCCATCCCGGTAGCTTTGTACTCTGCAGGTCTCACCTTTTCCTTAGCCATTCTCTACACTCTTAGCCCTGCCCCGCCCCCACCTGGCCTGGTTGCTTTCAAATCCCTTAAAGCGCCGCTCCTCCCTTAGTCTTGCCTTTCCACAGCCCATTCAAGACTTTTTTTACCATTCGTGGATCCCACCCACCTCCCGCAGTCCCTCCGAATCCTTCCTGACATTCTCCCGGCCCAGCCCCGGCTAAACGGGCCGCGTTTCCAGCTCCGTCCCTGCCCCTTCTTTACCTCGCCTTTTCCCTTAGTCCTAGCCAGAAGCTCTCAGGTTTCCAGGCCTCGCCCATTTCCGCCCCTTCTCACTGGGTCTCAGTCCCTGTTCCCCTTGCCGTGTCCCCTTTCAGTCCAGTCTAGTGCCACTCTCCATTTCCAGTTCCCGCCCCTCATTCAGTCCCGCCCCCTCACTCTCCTAGCTCAATCAGGACTGTTTCTAATTTCTGTGGCGCTGCCTCTTCTTAAGATCCGCTCTGCCCCGTCCAATCAATGTTAGGAGCTCAACCCGGCAGTCTCCGTCTGCCCCACTTCACCGGGTATTGCTTGCCGGCTCTTTAGGTCCGTCTCTATGCAATCCAGACGGGCGCCCCGATGTGGCCCTGCCCCTGACTCCGCCAGTCACGGACAGTCAGGCCCCTTTAAATAGCTCGGACCTGTCCCCTTCCCCTGCCCGACCCGCTCCTTTTCTTAGTTCTATCAGATCTCTTTCTTATATTTAGCCCCGCCTCCTCTGTTCTCCCAGTGCTGCCAAACCAGGCAACTTTAGCCTCCCATCCCGCCTTAACACCTCGCTCGGCCCCGCCCCTTATCCCAGAAAGACCCAATCGGTGTGTTCCATTTGCGGCCCCGCCCCGCCCAGCTAGGCGGAGTTGGAGTCCGGGCCCTTCTCTCAGCTTTAGCCCCGCCCCCCACCTCTTCCCAGGCCAATCAATTCAGTTTCTCCCTCCCTGCGGTCTCGCCCCCTCCCTCCATCACCTCCTATCACCCAATCACATCTCTCTCCCCTGCGGCCCCGCCCCCTGAGACCCCGCCCCTCCTTCTCCGCCCCCCCATCCAATGCTGAGCTCAGTCTGCGTCTCATCCTTCCGCGGGCGCCAGGGGTCCAGCAAACAGCAGCCAGTGTCGCCGCCGCAGCCGTCCGAGTCCCCGCTGCCGCTGCCCCCGCCACCGCCACCGCCACCGCCGCCGCTGCAGCAGCAGCAGCAGCAGCCTGCGCAGCCCGGCCCCGCCGCGTCCCCGGCGGGCCCCCCGGCACCCCGCGGGCCCGGGGGCCGGCGCGCCGAGCCATGCGCCGGGCTGCCGGCGGCGGCCATGGGGCGGCACGGCGGCGGCGGTGGCGACAGTGGCAAGATCGTGATCAACGTGGGCGGCGTGCGCCATGAGACGTACCGCTCGACGCTGCGCACCCTGCCGGGGACGCGGCTGGCCGGCTTGACGGAGCCCGAGGCGGCGGCGCGCTTCGACTACGACCCGGGCGCCGACGAGTTCTTCTTTGACCGGCATCCGGGTGTCTTCGCCTACGTGCTCAACTACTACCGCACTGGCAAGCTGCATTGCCCGGCCGACGTGTGCGGGCCGCTCTTCGAGGAGGAGCTCGGCTTTTGGGGCATCGACGAGACCGACGTGGAGGCCTGCTGCTGGATGACCTACCGGCAGCACCGGGACGCCGAGGAAGCGCTCGACTCCTTCGAGGCACCCGACCCCTCGGGCGCCGCCAACGCTGCCAACGCTGCGGGCGCCCATGACGCGGGCCTGGACGACGAGGCGGGCGCGGGCGGCGGCGGCCTGGACGGCGCGGGCGGCGAGCTCAAGCGCCTCTGCTTCCAGGACGCTGGCGGCGGCGCCGGGGGCCCGCCGGGGGGCGCGGGCGGCGCGGGCGGCACGTGGTGGCGCCGCTGGCAGCCCCGCGTGTGGGCGCTCTTCGAGGACCCCTACTCGTCGCGGGCCGCCAGGGTGAGCGTGCTCTCGGAGCCCCCATCCCCCTCCCCTCTCCTGGAGCTCCCAGACCCTCAGAAACGCCCCATCCTCGCCCTTAATCCCTGGTCCTTCCCAGCCCTTCCTGGTCTCTCGGCCTCCCAGCCTCTTAGTCTCCCATACTCTGAACACACCCCCGTCTCCCGGCCATCCCCAGATCCTCAGAAGATCTCTCTGCCACCTTCAGAATACTCCAGACCTCTCTAAACCCCACCCAGCTTATCTAGGCCATCGTAGGCTCTTAGAAACTTCCTTTCTGACCGTGAATCTCTTAAACACACCCCCTGGACAACCCCACATCTGCCTTTCCTGGACCCCTCCTGAGACCCTCAGAAGACATTTCCTCAACCCTGAGTCTTCCTAGCCCCTTTTAACCTCTTCTCACCTCTCTTGGCCACCCCTCAGACCCTCAGAAGACGCTTGTCCAGCCCTCAGTTTCTTGTACCTCCTTAGATCCTCAGAAGACATCTCTTTCTAACCCTCAAAGTGTCCCAGGCCCTGTGAATACTGTCTCCACCCCCTGCAGACCCTCTGAAGCCTGCTCTCTAGCTTCCAGTCTTCAGTCCTGAAGCCTCTCCCAGCACCTCTGATTCTCCTTCTGCCCGTCTCCACATCCCCTCCCTATCTCCAAGTTTGAGTCTCCTGGTTACCTTTGAACCCCCCTTGCTTATTCTGCCCTTAAAGTCTCAGAATAGTTCCCACCCCAACCTCAGAGTCCCCTGGACTCCTCTGAACCTCCAAACCACTTGCTCTGGCTAGTATACTTCCCCCTCACTGCAACAGAGTCTTGGGGCTTCTTCTCTCCTGGGACCCTGCTGCCCCCTCTGTGTTCACATCCCTTCCTGCATCCTCCACACCAACTCCCCTCCCGAGGATTTCCCCATACAGCTCCAGACTTCCCCCAAGGCTTTCACACTCCTCCTCAATGTCTCCAGAAGAGTCCTGAGCCCCCATGATATGCTTTTCCTCTCCAGAACTTCCCATATGCCCTCCAGAATAGCTTCTCTCTCATCCACAGATTCTCCCAACTTCTTCCTTCATCTTTAAACTGCATAGCCCACTCTCGATCTCTGGGACGCCCTCCTCCCACCCTCAGCCTCCCAGCCTCTTTCCTAGTGGGTAAAGGACTTTCCTTCCCGCTCCAGAACTTTACCTAACCTCAATCCTTGGGACCCTCCTCAAGTTATCAGCCCCAAAACTTCCTCCTCAAAATAGCTCCCAGGTCTTTCTGATCTACCTTGGTATCTTCCCACCTGACGCCCCTCCCCAAGCCCTGCTCGCTTCCCCTTTCCTAACGCCCCCCCCCACTACCCATTCCAAAGCACAGGACTGGGCCTCTCAGACCCCCCTCCGCCCCCCACAAAGTGAACCAAAGAGCCCACACTCCAGCCTTCTCCTCTCTCCAGTCTTATCTCTCTCAAAATTCCATATTTCCCCCAAAGCTCTCTTCGTCTCCCCCCCCAAAAAACTTTCCTCAAACATCTGTAACTTCCCAGGCTAAATAGCTACCCTTCCCCCTGGTTCTCATTTGAACCTCTTCCTCCTCTTAGCTTCCTCCCTGTGTTGGAGGAGAGAGAGGACAGTTCAAGATGTGGGGGTGGGAAATTAGAGAGAGGAGGGAAAGAGGAGAGACTCCAGGCCCCTTTCTAGCCTCCTGGGGACCCAAACACTCGGAGGAGGCGGTCCGGCACCCTCCCCCCACCGTGCCGCGTCCTGGGCCGGCCAGGAAGGACACGGAGGACCCGCAGTGCCGCATTCGCACTGGGGGAGGGAGCGAGGGGGAGGGGGGCCGGAGGCACCGCATAAAGTTTGGTCCCCGGGAAGCGCTGAGTTGGCAAGATTTGGGGTTGGGTGGGGGGGAGGTGGGGGAGAGGAGGTGCAGAAAGGACGTGGCCCTATATGCCCCCTCAGGCCTCTGAGCGGCACCCTCCCCCCATGGCCTGGGGAACCCTTCCCTCTTGTGACCCCATTGAAGTGTTCTGAGGTGAAACTAGGGGTCTGGGACAGCTATGGGGGACATTCATTTACTTTACAGAAGTGTTTTGAGTGTCCACGCGGTGCCAAGCATCTTCTAGCCGCCAAATAAGAGTTTGAGAGTTGAGAGTTGAGGCCAACGCAAAGTGGAGGGTCCGGCTCTACCTCCCTCTCACTCCTCTCCCCATAATCTCCTCTTTCCTTCTTACAGGGACTCCATGCCCTCCTCCTACCCCTTCTGCTTTTGAAGCATCTCTGGACAAGGGGGTCCTGACGCTGTCCAGCTTCTAAGCTGCGCACTGCGACGGGTGCCCACCTTTCTTTCTGTGTCCTGGGAGGGAAGGAGTTAATCAAGCTCCTGGCCTGTGGCCTCCCGCTGTGAAGCGGCACTGCGGCTGCGCACTGCCTGCTCGGCAACAGCCTGGAATGGGTTAAGACAGCTCTCAGGCCTTGCGGCTGCGCACTGCGATGGGGGAGCTGTCCGTGGTGCTGCCCCCCGCGCGCCCCGCCCCCTGGTCCATCCGGCCCGCCCCCACTGCGGTGCCGCAACCTGCGCCCTGCGCCCGGCTCGGAGGGGGGCGGGGGAGCACCAGGCATGCGCTCTGCGGAGGCCTCTGGCCTCTTAAACCACTGCGGAGAAACGAAGAGGGGGGCGGGGCAGAGGGCCAGAGTTGGGCCCTAGCCCACCCCAAGATCTAGGGTCATCTCTGAGGCGGACGCTGGCCCGCCTCTCGGCTCTGCACTTCAGATTAAAGTCAAGGTCTCCCAAGCCCGGACCTTGTCCCCCATCCCGTGGAGGAAAGGGAGTGCAGAGAGGGACAGTGCTGGCCCGGGAGCCAACCCTGGCTCTCCTCTCTTCTCTGCACCCCAGGCCCTCTCTCCTCTACCCATCTGATTAAAGCCCCCTCTGCCTCAAAGCCTATCCCCTTCCTTCTCTAAGGACTAACCCCACTCTTTCGACCTCCCTTCTACATATCTGATAAAGCCAACTACAATTTCTAGGGGCCTTCTCCAAGAGCTTGACCCTGTCTCTTCTCAAGGCCTTCATCAAAACCCACACCATTGGGCTCAGGACCATCTTGAAATGAACCAGGCACCCCTGCCCCCATATCTCTGAACCTCTGACAAGCCCCTTCACCTCTCCTTGGGCCTAGCCCTGCCCTCTCCCCTTGCCCTATGTTCAAGCCCCTGACATTCCCTTCCTTTCCAGAGCCTTAAACCCCACCCCTATCATCTTCCCTTTTTTCAGTCTTGACCCTTCACCTCCTTCTTCCTTCAGGGACCTAACATCCCTCCTCCCCTCTGTGGGTCCAACTCTGCGCTGTTCTCCCTGGGTGAGGGCCTCACTCAGCCTTCTCCCTTTTCTGAGACCCAGTCATTAGCATCAAGGTCCTTAAACACGGCACCTATCTGAGGCCTCAACCTTGGCTCCCTTTAACTGATGCCGCAACACCCTAATAACGGCTCAAGCCTTAATAAGTTCCAAACACTAGATCAAGCACTAGTTTTGGAGTCAGGCCCTTTGTATACTCATCTAATGTAATCCTTACAATAATCCTGTAAAAAATTTGAGGTTCGGAAAGATTAATCTCCTTGCCCAATTAGGCAGGGAAAAAGCTGGATTCAAACCCAGGCTTTCTTACTCTTAACCACCTCCTGGTTCTGCCTCCGACCCACCTTCTCCCCTTCGCCTTCCCTCAGCTCCAAGCTAAGCCCCAAAGCCTCTGAGACACAGGATGTATGATCTTAGTCTCCCTACCCACATCCCCCAGCAGAATGCTTGGACCCTGCCAGGGACCCCTGAGATACGACACAGGGAACAGGAGGGGGGGGGATGGTCTAGGAGACAGAGCAAGGAGGCAGAAATTGCTGTTTCCAGGAAAGAAGTGGCCCATCTGCTGCTGCCTCTGGGGCCAGCTCTTCTCCCGAGCTGGGGGAGGGCTGCCTCTGATCCTTTTGCAAGATTTAGAGAGAACAGGATGCAAGAAGTGATGGAGGCACTGGGGTTGGGACACCGGGGTTTCCCTGGAGTTTGTGTCTGGGAAAGGGGCCACTGGGAGGGTCTCAGGGAGATGGCTAATTGACCAGATGCCTGGGTCACCTTTTGCCCTCTCTCTCCTGTCCTGCCCCGCAGTATGTGGCCTTCGCCTCCCTCTTCTTCATCCTCATCTCCATCACCACCTTCTGCCTGGAGACCCACGAGGGTTTCATCCACATCAGCAACAAGACAGTGACGCAGGCCTCCCCGATCCCTGGGGCTCCGCCGGAGAACATCACCAATGTGGAGGTGGAGACGGAGCCCTTCCTGACCTACGTGGAGGGTGTGTGTGTCGTCTGGTTCACCTTTGAGTTTCTCATGCGCATCACCTTCTGCCCAGACAAGGTGGAGTTTCTCAAGAGCAGCCTCAACATCATCGACTGCGTGGCCATCCTGCCCTTCTATCTGGAGGTGGGGCTCTCGGGCCTCAGTTCCAAGGCCGCCAAAGACGTGCTGGGCTTCCTGCGGGTCGTCCGCTTTGTCCGGATCCTGCGCATCTTCAAGCTCACGCGGCACTTCGTGGGGCTGCGCGTGCTGGGCCACACTCTCCGTGCCAGCACCAATGAGTTCCTGCTACTCATCATCTTCCTGGCGCTCGGTGTGCTCATCTTTGCCACTATGATCTACTACGCTGAGCGCATCGGCGCGGACCCCGATGACATCCTGGGCTCCAACCACACCTACTTCAAGAACATCCCCATCGGCTTCTGGTGGGCCGTGGTCACCATGACAACCCTGGGCTACGGAGACATGTACCCCAAGACGTGGTCAGGGATGCTGGTTGGGGCGCTGTGTGCCCTGGCTGGGGTGCTCACCATCGCCATGCCCGTGCCCGTCATTGTCAACAACTTTGGCATGTACTATTCGCTGGCCATGGCCAAACAGAAGCTGCCCAAGAAGAAGAATAAACATATTCCCCGGCCTCCGCAGCCCGGCTCGCCCAACTATTGCAAGCCCGACCCACCGCCACCGCCCCCGCCCCATCCTCACCACAGCAGCGGCAGCATCAGCCCTCCACCACCCATCACCCCGCCCTCCATGGGGGTGACTGTGGCAGGGGCCTACCCGCCAGGGCCCCACACGCACCCCGGGCTGCTCAGGGGGGGAGCGGGCGGGCTCGGGATCAGGGGGCTGCCTCCTCTGCCTGCCCCTGGGGAGCCTTGCCCGTTGGCTCAGGAGGAAGTGATTGAGATCAACCGGGCAGGTGAGGAGGGGGCGCGAGGGGTGGAGGTGGGGGGCGCAGGCAGAGGTGGGGAGGTTGTGAGGGGGGCAGGAGGTAGTTGCTGAGACTCCGGAGAGATGGGGTGGTCAGCAACAGAGACGGAAGAGAGGAAAGTGAACAGCAATTGCTGAGGCCAGAGAAGAGGCACGGAAATAGACAGTGATGGAGAAGCAGAGATTTCGTGTGGAAGAGAGTTTTGGGGAGAGACAGACTTGCAGCCAAGGTATTCAGGGGAACCAGGGGGGTGGGGGGCAGAGTGGTCAGCCATATGGTGAGAGGGACTCAGAGAAAGAGATGGGGGGGCGGCTCAGAGCACAGGGAGAGAGTCTCACATGGGAATCAGGGGCCAGAGACCGAGGCCAGGGCACTGTTGCAGTGTCTGATGAAGGAGGTGAGCGGAGAGGAAAGTTGACTGAGCCTGTGCTCATCTCTCCCCCCCAGGGGAGTCTGTGTCTCAGAGACAGTGATTGGGGCATCAGTCCCAGGGAAGGGAGAGGCTCGGGGGCCCCACCCCCATGCCGTAAGTAGGTCAAGAAAGGGAGCTGGGCTGCCCGGCCCCCATCTTGCTCCCTCAGCCGCTGACCCAGTTTCACACCAATTAAAAATAGCTAAAGTCAGAGCCTGGGGGACCCCCACCTCCCCCCTCCCTCATCTGTCACCTTCCCAACACCTCCCACTGTGCCCTTGCCAGCGTCCGACACCCCTCCCTAAACTACCACCTCCCAGCCCCCTGCATCCCTCCCAGCCATCCCTCCAAACCTATCCCAAACCATGCACCCTACCCCAGCTGTGCCCTATTCGGTCCACTTCAACCAACCATCCCACCCTCCACTCTGTCTCAGCCTCCTTCCCAGCACCCGGTTCACTTCCCAACCACCTCTTCCCCCGTCCCTGTCCCTTCAAACACCCGACACCCTACCTCAGTCCTGCCCTTCTCAGAACCCAACACCCCGCCTGACCCCCACTTCCTAGCCTTCAACGCCCTTCCCTACCCTTTTGTCCTGCCCGAACTCAACACTCTCCCCACCCAGGACCCGCTCCCCAAATCCACCAGCCACACCCCCTAACCACCTGCACCTCCATCACCTCTCCTTGCTGACCTTGCCCTCTCCATGAGTTCCCACATCTCACTCTCTCCTTTGTGTCTCTGTCTGACCCTCGGGACACAGATCCCCGCCCCAACGGGGACCCTGCAGCAGCTGCACTTGCCCACGAGGACTGCCCAGCTATTGACCAGCCCGCCATGTCACCAGAAGACAAGAGCCCCATCACCCCCGGGAGCCGGGGCCGCTACAGCCGGGACCGAGCCTGCTTCCTCCTCACTGACTATGCCCCTTCCCCTGATGGCTCCATCCGGAAAGGTGAGGTGCCCTCCACTGGCCCCCTGGGACCCTCCCTCTCCTCCCCTCCCCCAGGGGAGGGGAGAGAGGGAGATGAGGGAGGAGGTGCTGGACTTCCCTTCCCCCATCTCCTGGCCCCAAATTCCCTCCCTCTTAGACGCCCTCCCCCAAATTTCCTCACCACTGACCCTTCACCTGTCTTTATTCCATCTCCATGTCCCCCCCCGACCCTCTGGCCTTTTCCCCCACCCCCAGCCACTGGTGCTCCCCCACTGCCCCCCCAAGACTGGCGTAAGCCAGGCCCCCCAAGGTTCTTGCCCGACCTCAACGCCAACGCTGCAGCCTGGATATCCCCCTAGTGGACGAACCCCCTCCCCCCAGGGTAAGTAGCCCCCACCCTCTGAACCCCCTCCCTCCTGACTAACCCATCTGAGAACATGCAGCCCCCATTGACCAAGACTCCTGTCCCCTCACTCCGAACAGCTCCATCCAATTAACCCCCAGCCCTGACACTGGCCCCGCACCCACCTGCCCAGGACCTGCGGTGCCCCTCACTAACCCCTAGAACTAAGCCCAACCCTCCCCACCATGTGCCTGACCTCCCTCCCCGCCCTTACGACTGACCCCCATTCTCAGCCCCATCCACATCTCTCTCCCTGCCTCCCCCCTTGGTTTTGCTTTTGTTTATTTAACCGAGAAAATGGGGTACACACCCAGGACATTCTTCTGGGTGCAGGTTGGGGTGGGAAAGACTCAGCCACTCACGCAGTCACTTGTGGATTGGCCAGCACTGACAAAGCACACACAGGTTCCCGGTGCAGTGCTAGGCCCAGGGGATTCAACAGTGAGCAATCCAACCACACCCCTGCCCTCCACGAGATCTCAGTTTGGGGGAGAGGCAGACACAGACCTAGAACTGAGGCCGAAAAGCAGGGCTGGGCTGAGGAGCCTTGTCCCAGGATCTGGGGAGAGGCGGGTCTGCTCTGGGGCTTCGTGAGGACGCACCTGAGTGGGGAGACTGCAGTTCAGGAGGCTGGGGAGGAGGCTGGGATGAGGGTCCAGGGGGAGAGGACAAAGGCTGAGCCGGGGTCAGGGCTATGGGGGTGGAGAGGAAGGAAAGAGACAGAGTCGGGGGGCCAGGGGTCAAGAGAACAGGGTCAGGACTGGCCAGTGGGGGAGGTGAGGGAGATAGAGTGAGGAGACAGTAGATGAATTATTCAGCAAACATAACGAAGCACTTTCCACGTGCCAGGAATCCAACATATATTCTGTAATCCTCACAACAACCCCAGCTAACCCCTAACTTCATTCATTCATGCATGCATGCAGGAACTGATGATTGAGGGTAGAATTCCAGGCACTGGAGATTTAGCAGGGCACAAAGCAAGAATCTGCCATCAGAGTTGCTACTCTAGAGCCTGGGTCAACATACTACAGCCACGGGCCAAATGTGTCCACCAGCTGTTTTGTAAATAAAGCTTTATTGGAACACAGCCACTGTCTACAACCGCAGACTGGAATAGTTTCGACCGAGATGGTATGGCCCACAGAGCCCCGAAAATTTTGACCATCTGGCCCTTTACAGCGAATGTCTGCCACTCCATGATTGGAGGAAGCAGAAAACAAACAAAAGGATAATTACTCTGGCCAGGTCAGATAAGGGGTGAGAGTCTTTCTGAGAAGGTGACATGAAACTTGAAAGCTGAAAAAGCTCCAGCCAGGCAGAAGAAACAGCAAGTGAAAAGGCCCTGAGGTGCTGAGGTGGGATGAGCTTGGTCTGTTAAAGGAATAGCAGGAGGGAAGTGTGGCTGGAGCTGAGTGGCCTAAGGGAGAGGGGAGGAGTCTGGGGGGGGGAAGGTTTTTTTGGCCATGGTGAGAGGCTGGATTTGATCTTTAAAATGATGGGAGGCCACCTGAAAGCATTTGATCCATCGCTTATTCATTCAACACATGCCTGTGGAATCTCCCTTCGCAATACAGAGATACATCCTAAAGAATCCCTACCCGCAGCCTAAGGAGATGCCACAGCAGGACTTAGGGAGCCTCCAAGGACAGCCACATCTAAACCCCCTTGTTTTACAGAAGTTCAGGGAGGTCCATGGCCAACCCCCAGCCACAGAGCAGATGGGGGACAAGAACCCAGGCTTCTGGGGTCCTAGTCCAGAGGGGACTGTCTGGCTCTTCTTGTTCCATCCCCGGACCTCTCCTTGTTGCAACCCGCCCCCCACCTCCATCATCCTCCACTTTCATCTCATTACCAACCCCCTGCCTCCCCGCTCCCATCTCACCCCTCCCCCTGCTTGCACCCAGTCCTGTTACCCACCTCCCTTTGTTCCCCACTCCCAGGTCTGGATGGGCCCCTATGGAATTGAGGGGCAGGGGGAGGGGGGAGGATTCGGGAATGTGGGTGAGGGAGGACTGGGGGGGCAGTTGGGGGGAGTTCCCTGCTTCTCTTGCCTCGGATGCCAAAATCCATTCATTGAACTCAAATTATGGCTGGAGCTGATGGGGCTGACTGAACTCCCTCCCCCAAGGTCCTGGATCCCTCCCTCTTCCACACAGCCTCCCTTCCTAACTAACCTTCCTCCAGGACCCACCCTCCACTATTACCCCCCAACCAAGATCCTTCCTCCTGACCTGACCCTCACCCGCCCCATGACCCCTCCCTTCTCCATCTCCCCTCACCAACCACCGGATTCCCGCACCTGACCCCCGCTCCCCCCTCCTCCCCAGCCCTCCCCCTCCTCTTTCCTTCATCCTCCCCTTCCCCCTCAGCCACCCCGGAAGCTCCTTCCATATTTGATGTCTCTGGCCGCCCCCATTTCACTGCTCCCCTCCCCCGGAAAACACCAGAGAGGAGGAAGAGATCTCAGCTTTTCTCCGTCCCCCCCACAGTGCGGCTGTGTTGGGGGGTTCCCCCTGGCCACCCGCCCCCCCGTGACTCTGTGTATTTCTGTCCCCAGCTCTTGTCACCGCCTGAGACCTCGTGAGACCCTCGGTCCCCCCCTGCCCCTTCCCCCCAGGTTAGCAATTGGGAATGGCTGGGAGGGGGTGTCCCCAAGATACTGGGCTTCCAACCTCCCCCAGGCCCTCTCTCCAACAGTCAAGATGCCCTCGTCCAGACAGACCCCTTCGTACTGCCTAGGAAAGCCCTAGAAGAGCCCAGACAGTGGCAGAACTCCTCAGACATTCCTAAGTTTTCAAGAAACCCCACAAGTGCCCCTAAGCCTTAGATCCCTTTGACTATCAAGACATTGTCAGGACCTTCCCATCAGAAGGTTCTCGTTTAAAGGCTTCTTGACCCTTTAAAGATACCCCATTACAGCCTTCAGCTGAGTCTTGCCCTCATCAGACTGCTCTAGGAGCTGTCCTCCTGCACCACCACCCCCCACGCCCAGGGAGGAGGCACTGCCAACTTGTGCTCCATTCAGCCCCTCACAGCGTCCCCACCCGCCTGTCTTCATTTCTCTACATCTAGGTTAGCCCCCTACCCACTGCAGCCCCACCCATTCCCTCCCAAGGCCTCTCCACCGGCTGCTCCCCCACTGGCATTCCACCCACGCTCCTTCCCCACGCCCGTGCTGCCCACCATCTGCCTCGCTGCCCCCCACCGTTTTGCCTCAGACGAGGGGGCCAACAGGGGGGAGGGGAGTTGAGGGGGGCTGCGGTGGGGGTAGGGTGGGGGAGGCTCGGTGGCTGCCACCCTGCCTCCTAACCCTGAGTCTCTCCCCCCTCCCCATGTCTGAACCTTTCTCCTTGATGCCGACTGACTGTCCAATTTGTTCACCTCTCTCTCTCTCCGTCTCCTTGGTCCGCCTCTGTCCATCTCTCCGTCTCTTGCCATCTGTCACTTTGTGTCTTGGTGTCTGTCTCCATCTCTTATCCTCTCTGTCTCCCTCACCGTCTCTCTCACCTGCCTTCTCTCTCTGACTCGCCCTCTCCATCTCTTCCTGTCTCTTGCCTTTTCCTGTCTCTGTCTTCTCTCTTTTTCCATCTCATATCCCTTCTGTTTCCCTCCTGCTTCTCTCTGTCTTGGGGTCCCTCTGTCTGTTGGACCCTCCCCCTGCACCCCTATCTCCTCGATTCCTCCCCGTGTTTCTGCCCTTCGCCCCCCCCCCACCCAGGTTACGAGAAATCCCGCAGCCTGAGCAGCATCGCGGGCCTGAGCGGGGTGTCCCTGCGCCTCGCCCCCCTTGCCACTCCCCCTGGCTCTCCCAGGGCCGCCCGCCGCGCTCCCCCAACCCTGCCCTCCATCCTCTAGCGCTCCCTTCCCCCCCGTGGGGGGACTCGGGGGTGACAGGGAAGGTCAAAGGAGCTGGGGGTGGGGGGTGGGGGAAAGGGTTGTTTTTTTTTTAAATCAAACAGTCATTAATAATATGCAACCGAGACGACGATGCCAGCAGACACCCCCGGGCCCCTCACCTCCACCTGGGTCCCCAGGATGGAGGGGGGGAGGAGCCAAAGCCCATCCCCCCAACTATTCGCCCCTCCTGAAAAAAAGCCTTCTCAGGTCTCCATGAACCATAGGAACCCCCCCCCGAATCGACTCGTGTAAATACGTCCAAATTACATCAATTACATTTTGGGGCGCCTCCCCAGTACTCTGCATGCCTCCCCCAAACTGGATCCCCGCCCTCTCCAACTCCACCTCAGCAATAAGCCGCCAGGAGCTGCATGCTGCGTGCGAGGGAAGGGGCATTCTGGGAAGCGGGTGGGGACCTCCATGTGGGTCGGGCTGGCCTTTAAGCTACCGGAGGGTCTCCTAGCCTCCTACCTTCCACCCCAGGAGGGCAACCCATCACGAAAAAAAAAAAAAATAGCAGCAATGTGGGGGAAGGAGGGACAGTCACCCAAGCCAAAAACCGGAGCTGAGCCAGACGGTAGAAGCGGAGGCACGGGGGGAGGGGTGGGCTGAGGACAGCTGCTCCCTCAGCCTTTAGGAGCATCCCTCTGGTGAATTTCACTCTTTCCTCCTCCTCCCCCAACCCCCACCCCACCCCACCCCCGGGGATCTGCTCGCCTCTATTGCTGCATGGACTCAGACCTCCCATCCCAGTATTCCTGGGATGCTCTGGCCCTAGCACACAAAATTCCCCAACACCCCCTCCAGATTCCCATCACATGAGGCCTGCCCCTAGAATTCCTGAGACTGAGTCTGGCATCCCGCGTCCTCCAAATCCCCACACGCTCCTGGGACTTAACCGCTGCACACAGATGCTGTCCCCCCCCCCCCCCCCCCACCGCCCACCCATTCCCTGAGCTGCATCCCAGCACCTCAAACCTCCAAGACTTGATCCAGCCCTTCAGCTCACTTTCAGCCTTTGGGATGCTCCAAATCCTTCTCACACTCTGGACATTTCCTCGACACCCCTAAATCTGACATCAGACATCCTCCTCAGGTTCCCCTGACGCTAGATTTTCAAGATAAGCTCAATCTGTCTGCAATTCCAGGGAACCAGACCTTCCCGGGGCACCCCCTTTCTTATGCCTAACCCTGCCCCTCCAAGAGCCCCTTTCTTTAAATGGTGCCCCAAAGGCACCTTCTTCATAGACGCCAGTGTTTCCCAGAGGGTCATATTTGTACCCCTGGCGATGTGCTAAGGTTTTAGGCAGTACAAGGACAAACACTTATTTTTAAAGTTTTGTCTTTCCTGGCATTTCGCACATAAGCCGGTAAGTCCAGATATTGCTGCTTGGCCAGGACACCGTTTATTTAGGTTAGAGGTGTTTACATTTAAAATGTAGAGGCTGTTCCCTAGTGGAGGGACGCTGGAATATCAGAAGCTTGGGAAACCACATATCTACCTGGGCTGGGATCCCAGCTCGCCCTTCCCCGGCCTTCTTCAACCCCCCACGTTCGCGGGTGGAAAATCATTTCTCATACCCCATCCTGGCTCAAGAAGGATGTGCTACCTACCCCAAGCCCAGGGACCATATCGGTCCCAGAATCCTTAAGGGACTACCCCTTTTGGAGCATGGGGCTCATGGAATTAGCAACCTCCCTCCCTCTGCTCCCACGGCCTCAGGAACCTCCCACCCCCCGCCTGAGGATTGGTGGTGGGGGTGTCACTGAGCACGGTTCTTGATGCAACGATTCCTATGCAAGGGGCATTTTTGAGTCCGCCCATCCTTCCCTTGGACCCTAAAACCCTGGCGAACCAGGGTTGAGGGGTGGGGCGGGTTCTGGGGGGAGCGGGGTGGGGTGGGGCAAAGGGCTAGGGGCTTTAAACACCGGGGTATGGGGTTGGAGACTGATTATATTGCCAAAGGGTTTAACTTCTTAAAGCAAAACAAAACCCCAGATACCCCTGACCCTCACGGAAGCCGAACGGTGCAGGGAAAGGGGGTGAGGATTTTTCTAAAGGGTACGGACCTCTTCCCAACGTCTCCTCCCTGCTCGCCAATCTGCCACACGTACCCAGCTTTTTAGTTCAGCTTTTAAAAATAGTCACAATCATTATAAACCTCTACACACGTTATTCTCGTTCCCCATCCCCCAAGTCAACAGTGTGGGATTCGGGGAGGGAGAGAGAGAGCTAAAGGGACAACTTCCAAGTCCCGACTCCCCTTTTCCCCCCGGCCGCCAGGGTGCCTGCAACTACATGCATGCGCTGCATGACGCGCTCCCCACACGCATGTCGCGCCCCTCCTGCGCTCCGGGAACGCACGGACACGGGGCGGGGGCGGGGTGATTGGGGAAGGAATGAATGGCGGGGGGTCTTTCTGAATACAGCGGCTCCTCCCCAACACACACACACAGCAATAAGTTTCTCTCACTCAAAAGTGGGCGGGGCGGGCCTGTCCTGTTGTTGGGGGGGGGGGGGGTGGCAAGGGGGCGCTCTCAGGGATGGGGGAGGGTGCCCGGAGTCAGTCTGGGGAGGGGAGGTCTGCAAATCGTCCAACTCTGGTGCTAATGGCGGGTCTTCTCAGCCCACCCCCAGGGCAGGGAGGGAGGGGTCGGCACGGCCCCTCCCCCAAGTCTCCCCCACGCCCACCCTGGGTGCATGAACCGCCCGTTGCAGAAGCTGCCGCATGTCACCCCCCCCAAATAAAAAGTGTCATGCCCCCTTCCCACCCACCCTCTCACTCCCCACCAAAATAAAAGTTTCCTTTTCATTTAAAAGTTTCATCCTCTTTGTCTCCAGAGAGGGCCTCCTGATGGGGCTAGGGGCTCTGGGGGCAGACAGAAGGTTGGGACAGAAGAGCAGGGTCGTATTAAGATGTCAAGGGCCTGCACTTTGAGGGTCCAGACATCCCCCTCATCGCCGGCTCTCACCTTGTGATTTTGGCGGGGGCAAGTACCTGCTTCAGTTTCCCTGATGGTAAAAATGGGGATCCACACCCCTAACTGGAAAGTCTGTGAGGGCACCTGGGTCATGTGAGCTCCTGGGTCATGTGCCGGTG